AATTGTTTTCAACTTTTCCCAACTCAGTATGATATTGGCCATAGGTTTGTTGCATATGGCCTTTATTATTTTGAGGTATGTTTTTTCTACTTTGCCTAGTTTGTTGAGAGCTTTTATCATGAGGGGATGTTCCATTTTATCAAATGCTTTTTCCACGTCTATTGATTAGGCCGGGCGCGGTGGCTCACGCCTGTAATCCCAGCACTTTGGGAGGCCGAGGCGGGCGGATCACAAGGTCAGGAGATCGAGACCACGGTGAAACCCCGTCTCTACTAAAAATACAAAAAATTAGCCGGGTGCGGTTGTGGGCGCCTGTAGTCCCAGCTACTCGGGAGGCTGAGGCAGGAGAATGGCGTGAACCCGGGAGGCGGAGCTTGCAGTGAGCCGAGATCGCGCCACTGCACTCCAGCCTGGGCGACAGAGCGAGACTCCGTCTCAAAAAAAAAAAAAAAAAAAAAAAAAGAAATGATTATGTAATTTTTGTCTTTAACTGTGTTTATGTAATGAAACACATTTATTGGTTTGTATATGTTGAGCCATCCTTGCATCCCTGGAATACAACCCACTTGGTCATGGTGTGTTATCTTTTTGATGTGCTGGTGGATTCAGTTTGCTAGTATTTTGTTGAGGATTTTTGCATCTATCTTCATCAGGGATATTGGTCTGCAGTTTTTTTTGTTTGTTTGTGTTCTCGTCAGACTTTGGTGTCAGGGTGATACTGGCTTCGTGTAATGAGCTAGGGAGGATTCTCTCCTGCTCAGTTTTTTTGGAACAGTTTCAGTAAAATTGGTACCAGTTATTCTTTGTATGTGAGTTTGATAGAATTTGACTGTGAGTTCATCTTGACCTAGGCTCTTTTTTTTTGTTGGGAGGATTTTTGTTACTGGTCTGTTGAGGATATCTAGTTATTCACGGTTCAGTCTTATGAGGTTTTATGTTTCCAGGAATTTATCCATTTTCTCTAGGTTTTTTAGTTTGTGAGTGTATGGTAGAGTCTGATGATCTTTTGTATCTCTGTGGTGTCAGTTACAATGTCTTCTTCGTTTCTTGTCATGTTTATTTAGATATTCTTTCTTCTTGGTTAGTCTAGATAGCAATTTATCAACTTGTTTATCTTTTCAAAGAACTGACTTTTCAATTCAGTGATCCTTTGTTTTTGTTTTGTTTGGTTTGGTTTGTCTCCATATCATTTAGTTCTACTCTGATCTTTGTTATATTTTTTCTTCTGCTAGCTTTGGGTTTGTTTTTTTCTTGTTTTTCTAGTTTCTTGAGGTATGACGTTAGGGTGTTAATTTGTAATCTTTCTATTCTTTTGATGTAGGCATTTGATGCTATAAAACTCCCTCTTAGCACTGCTTTGGCTGTATCCCAGAGGTTTTGGTAATTCTGTCTCCATTTTCCTTTGTTTCAAAAAAATTTTTTGAATTCTTTCTTAATTTTGTCATTGACCCAAAGATTATCTAGGAGTGCGTTGTTTAATTTCATGTATTTGTACAGCTTTGAGAATTCCTCTTGATATTGATTTCTAGTTTTATTCCATTGTGTTCTGAGAAAATACTTGATGTGATTTCAATTTTTTTCAAATTTATTGAGGCTAGTTTTGTGGCCTAACATATGGTCTATTTGGGAGAATGTTTCACGTGCTGATGAGAAGAATGTATATTCTGTGATGTTGGATAGAATGTTCTGTAAGTGTCTATTAGGTCCATTTGGTCTAAAGTTCAATTTAACTCCTGTGTTTCTTTCTTGATTTTCTGTCTCAGTGATCTGTCTAGTGCTGTGACTGGCGTGTTCAAGTGCCCCAGTATTATTGTATTGCTATCTGTATCTTTCTTTAGGTTTGCTTTAGTAACATTTGTTTTATGAATCTGGGTGCTCCAGTTTGAGTACCTATGTATTTAATATTATTATATCCTTTTGTTAAATTGATATCACCCTTTATCATTAGATAATGATCTTTGTCTCTTTTTATACTGTTTTTGATTTGAAGTTGGTTTAATTTGTTATAAGTATAGCTACTCCTGCTTTTGGTTTTCATTTGCATAGAATATCATGTTCCACCCCTTTATCTTTGTTTGTTTGTTTGTTTGTTTGTTTTTGACAGAGTCTTACTCTGTCACCAGGCTGGAGTGTAATGACACAATCTTGGCTCACTGCAACCTCTGCTTCCCGGATTCAAGTGATTCTCCTGCCTCAGCCTCCTGAGTAGCTGGGATTACAGGTGTGTGCCACCACACTTGGCTAATTTTTGTACTTTTAGTAGAGAGGGGGTTTCACCATGTTCATCAGGCTGGTCTCAAACTCCTGACCTCATGATCCACCTGTCTCGGCCTCCCAAAGTGCTGGGATTACAGGCATCAGCCACTGTGCCCTTTATCTTTCATCTATGTGTTTTTACCAGTAAAGTGAGTTTCTTGTAGACAGCATATAGTTGGTTCATTTTAAAAATCTGTTCTGCCTGTCTTTATCTTTTAAGTGGAGCATTTAATTCACTTACATTCAAGGTTAATATTGATACATGAGGTTTTCTTCCTGTCATGTTGTTATCACTAGTTGTTTTATGAATTCTTCGTTTCTTCATTTTTTTTTCTTCTGTGTCTTTGTGATTTGGTTCAGTTTTTTCTTTATGCTATGCTACCTCTAGGCTAGTAGAAAAACTAAGAGATTATCCTTAATAATTTCTACTGGCCCATTTGCTCCTAAATTTATCTGCCTCTTTATCCTTGGACATAAGCAGAAAGATTAAAAAAATACTTTTTCCACTGGCATATAGTATGTCTCCATTTTAACAAAATCCTGACCATCTTTTCCTAACTAGAAGGTTTTTCAGGGGTGAGATACTTGCTTGCCTTTTGCAAGTGGGATCATTGTTTTTCACTAATTGACTTATACTATAATTCATTTTTTTGAGACAAGGTCTTGCTCTGTCACCCAGGCTAGGGTATCACTGCTCACTGAAGCCTCGACCTCCCAGGGTCAAGTGATCCTCCAGCCCCAACCTCTCAAGTAGCTGAGACTAGAAGTGTGTCCCACCACACCCAGCTAATTTTAAAATTTTTTATAGAGAAAAGGCCTCACTATGTTACATAGGCTGGTCTCGAACTCCTGGGCTCAAGCAATTTCCTGCCTCAGCCTCCCAAAGTGCTGGGATTATAGGCATAAACCACTGTCCCTGGCTGACTTATACCTTAATCCAGTTAATAACCATTCTTTACTTTGGTCAATTATAAATTTATTTTTAATACACAATTTAAGAGTTACTCAGAGCAACCTTATTTATATTAGAAATTTTTTTCTCCCGAAAATATCACATCCTCTTTGACCTTAGTTTCCTTTTATCTAAAATGATGGGGTTTCTAAGTTTCCCTCTATCTTTAATATTCTGTGAAGTTTGTCATTTAGTATACAAGTGGCCAACAAACATGAAAAAAAAATGTTCAGTACCACTAATCATCAGAGAAGTGCAAACCAAAGCCAGAGTGAGATATCATCTCACACCAGTCAGAATGGTTATTATTTAAAAGTCAGAAAATAACAGATGCTGGTAAGGTTGTGAAGAAAAGAAAACACTTATACACTGTTGGTAGGAATGTAAATTAGTTCAACTACTGTGGAAACAGTTTGGAGATTTCTCAGAGAACTTGGAACTACCATTCAACCTAGCAATTCCATTACTGGGTATGTACCCAAAGGAAAACAAATTGTTCTACCAAAAGACACATACACTTGTGTGTTAATTGCAGCACTATTCACAATAGCAAAGACATTAAATCACCCAAGGTGACCATCATTGGTGAACTGGATAAATAAGATGTGGTACACATATACCATGGAATACTATGCAGCCATAAACAAAAACAAAATCATGTCCTTTGCAGCAACATGGATGCAGCTGGAGGCCATTATTCTGAGTGAATTAATGCAGGAACAGAAAAATCAAATACCACATTTTCTCACTTATAAGTGGGAGGTAAATATTGGGTACACATGATCATAAAGATGAGAACAGTAGATACTGAGACTACTAGAGAGCGGAGAGAGGGAGGAGGGCAAGAGCTGAAAAACTCTCTGTTGAGTACTGTGCTTACTACCTGGGTGATGGGGTGATTCACACCCCAAACCTCAGCATCATGCAATATACCCATGTAGTAAATCTGCACATATATCATTTGAATCTAAAATAAAAGTTGAAATTATTTCTTTAAAGTTTGTTATTTAGGACACATATTTCTGTATGGAGAATATTGAAATGGGTATTAGGTTTCTAGGCTAGTTCATAAAACCTCCTGAACAAGTAGTGTACATAAAATATTGTCCAAATAGAATGTTATTCAAATATGTCTAATCACAAATTATAATGTTGTTTGTAATACAGCCGTGAAGCAACTCTTACCCCACTTTTATACCCTATCTTCCAGCAGCTTGGAGAAGGACAAGAAGCTGTGTTAGAGAAATAGATTAAATCCTTCCGGGTGTCAGAAATTCCATATTAAGATGCAAGTGGCTTAATCTGCACAACATCTAGATCTGTGCTGCCCAATATGGTAGCTACTAGCTACTTTTGCTATTTAAATTTAAATTAATTAAATAAAAAATTGATTTCTTCAGTCACATTAGCCACATTTCAAATGCTCAAAAGCCACATGTGATTAGTAGTTACCTTATTGGACAGAGCAGATATAGAACATTGTATTATTACAGAAAATTCTACTGGGCAGTTACTGATCTAGAACTGAACCTCCCTATGCCTACTTCTTACTGCAATGAATGCAGCATATTGTACTTTCATGTCTTTGTGTTTGGTTCTCTTGTGAGGACTAATCAGTCCAAATTGGATTAGTCTGCAATTGCCACATCAATTTTAATAAAAAAATTTCTTGACCTGAGTTTGAAAACTTTCTTTTGGTAGCTTTTAATGCTTGGCAGTGGTGTTCGTGATGAAAACAGAAATTATTCATCTTTGGTGTCTATAGAGATAACTTTGAAAAAATACTTTGTAGGCAGCTGAGATTCTACTACAAAATGGAGCAAACCCTAATCAAAAAGATCAAAAACAGAAGAGTGCTTTGGATGAAGCAGATGATGAAAAAATGAAAGAATTACTAAAATCTTATGGTGCTATTGAGACTGATAATAGAGATGAGAGAGATGCTATAGTCAATGGTATGTATATCAATATTGCTGCTATTTTATACAGAGATATATCTCTGTTTAGGAAAATCTTCTGATTTGTTGTGTAAATTGTTTCATAACTAGGATAGATGTGTCCTATGTTTATTAAACTCTTCAAAAGCCATTATTTATTTTTAGAAATTAGCATTTAAAAATATGGTGTAATTTATAGATCATATGATCCTATTGGATTGGAGTTACATGTTGAAATGAAACCTATAGCATTCATCAAGCAAACATTAATCTCCCTAACATTAGATTTGAGATAGAGATGTAATTGAAGCCAGGCAGATCAGCTTAGTTGTAGTAGGGCTGGAAAAGGGGTGACATTATACTGAAGTTTTTGCAACTAAGATTCCATTACTTCAAAATTTGTAATGATTCATATATCAGTTGGATTCATGCCAACTTTTAAAGAATCTAGTATTCTAGCATATTAATTTGTTAAAGGAAATATACTTGTATATGTGTAATATATTTTGCAATGAAAAGAATATTTCAAGGGAATGCATGTACAATCAGGCAAAATTTTATGAACCATTTTAGCAATACTTTATACTTTATTAAGTATTGAGGAGAGGGAATTGTTCTTCCTTTTCCCTCATGCTCAAACCTTGACTCATAGAAGAAGATACTCAGGAATATATCTATATTCTCACCATGAGGGAGAATGCTGGAGAGAGCAATTGTGTAACACACTTCTCCCCTGGCCTACCAACATCCTTACCAACTGTTGATTTTCATGGAAGAATTACTAATATAATTGGTCAGAGCTAAGGATATTCATTGTGTTATATTTCACCAGTGGGCTAGATCATGGATAGGTCAAGGTCAAGAGTGAAACAAATTTCCTCTTTTCATTGCCTGTTACCATATAGTAAGTCCATAGGGTCAGGGCCTTTCTCAGAGGCCCAGCCATTTCACACTCCCTCTTCACAGCTATACCTGAAAGTTCCCATGATTTAGATTAGCTCAGTTTATCAGGGAAGTCTTGCATTTGGAGTTGTTGATAGATCTATTGTAAAGTGATAGATCTATTCCCACATATCTACTGTTTTTTGTTTCCTTGATCAGGTACCCCAGAAGGATGAAGAATATAGAGGACACTCATAATATAGAGAAAGGGAATCCAGAATGGGAGTAGGGTCCAAGAGAATTTACAGAGGCATTAATCAAGTCATGTGGACGTTGGAATCAGATAAGATCTGGTTTCAGTTCTGTGTGACATTGGGCAACTTCTTGAACCCCGCTAAGCCTCACTTTCCTCTTCTGCAAAATGGATATAATAAACTACCTACTTCACAGGTTCATATGAAGATTAAATGAGATGATTTATGGATAGTTTTTGGCACCCAGCATGTGACAAGTGCTCAGTAAATGTTAGCCATAAGTAGCCAATTGGTGATGATGAGTACTGATTAAGATATAATAGTTGTAGACTTGACTTAGCCGTCTCATCTGCATCACATTAAAACTGAAAAATAACACTATATTTTTGCATATTCTTATTATATTTTCTAATTTTACTTTTTAAAGAAAAAATTCCTGCTGTCCAGTCTAAAAGACATAAACAGTGTTTTTGTGATGATGGCAAAACTATTGATTCACCTTTCCTTTCACACCAAGAAAGATCAAGTGAAAGCCTTTCTGTGGTGAGTGAAGTTAAAATTACTTCGTTCTTCATCTTAGAAAATGCCATTCTTTGAGCCAGCCAGTTAGTTATTGGCTAACGGCAATACTCTCCATTTTAATAATACAAAGATTGAAATTTTTTTATTATAAAAGATAAGATAATGAACAGAATGGGCCTGGAAGTTATGCTGTGTGGTTAACTCTTAATTATTTGCTTTGAATACAGAACTGTGGAGTAGCTGCTATCCTTTATACCTAGTTTGAGTTCTTTGGCTACTTCTTGTCCATAGACACTGCCACTGTCATAAATGTGTCTTTACTCACTTCCATAAGTGTCTAGGAGATGCAGGATATAGAAAAGATTCTGGAATCCGACAGAGAAGAGGATTAAGCAGCCTGGTTTAGCTAACCTTGATCCCATATGGTTTATAGTAATACAATTTGCTGCAAAACCCACCATGTAAAGGTAGCTTTTGAAAAAAAGAACATAGCAGTTGCTTAATAAGATATATATACTGATTGAAATTCTTAGTTCGACCAAAACACAAAGCTTAACTAGACACAAAATCTCAACCAAGGTAGCATCCTCAGTGAAACCTTATTTCGGGTAAGTCTTGGCCCATAGTGTCCAAGACTGAATACATTTACGATACAAGCAAAGCAGAAAGGAAAGTTGGCACCAAAAGATGTTTCTTTGTCCTAATCTGTGGATAGAGCTTAGCCTGGGCACAAATTCTCATCTTCTGTTTGCTTTTATAACCATAAATTGTTCACTGTATAAAGCGGTAAACCTTAGTGGTATTTTTATTTTTGCTTGTTTTTTATATTTGTATTTTATAATTTCACTTGGATACATTTAATAAATGACAGCAGTAAGATTGCTTTACCAAATAATTAGATTATTTTATTACGTACTTTTTGAATATCTTTTGTGGGCACCAAAGTAAAATTTCAGGGCAACATATTTCAGAAGGCTTTGAGGATCTACATGTTTTAGAAATGAATGTGTATGGAGAGTATATTAAAGGATAGGTAATATGAGTCAATCAATCAATCATCATTAATGGAGCAATAGCTATGAACCCACAATGTTGGAACCATATACAAATATAAAAGGCATGCTTCTGCCCACAAGATCTCATTGTCCTGATGAGGAAATATAATGTATAAGACATTATTATGTTAGTGTTAAATTATGTAGCACTGAATTTCTTAATTCTGAGAAAAAGGAAATCAGCATGGATTGGATAAGTCAGAAGTTTCCTGTATGAATGAGTTTTATATGATTATAATATTCACTATTTAGGGAGTTCTTACTTCGTGCTGACATTGTCCTTAGCATTTTAATGTGTTATACAATTCAGTCACAGAGAGGATGAGTAACTTGCTGGAGTCACCTAGATAGGAAGAGGTGAAGCCAGGATTTACACCTGAAAGTCTGGTTCCAGAGCCCGCTCCACAATTCTCTCTCTCATAGGGAAAGAGAAGAATCAGGGCAGAGTGAATTGAAAGCATTCAAGGCAGGAAGATTGGTACTGACAAGGGCATGTAGAAGTAGTATTAAGTCCCCTTTGTGAATTTTTGAGAGCATAGTGTTTTGTACTTCTAAGATTAGGTATAAGATTTTAATAGTGTGCAGTGAAAGTCATAAGGCCTTAAAGTGAACTTGTTGTATATATGTACTTTCAATGTTATGTGATTTATTTTTCTCCTACACCTATAGTTTCAACAGAAGTCAGTGATAAATTGATTTCTTATGATTGCTACTTTTACATTCTATTTTCCAGGGTATCTACTACATAATTCAAAATATATTTGTTTGCTTTTGTTCAAATCTGCAACATTTATACAGTTAAAAAGTATGAGTACATTTTGAACATAGAGAGGAATGAGCATTTTTAGGAAAACTTTCTTTAGTATTTTATTTATTCTATGTTTGTCAATAGCATGTCAGAGAGCATATCTACCCCTTTGTAATGAAGTTTCAAATATTTTTATCTGACAGCATCAGACCCTCAGTGCCATTCTACAAGATATAGAAGAAAAACAAGAAAATTTATTAGAGTTTGAAATAAGAAACCCTGAAGATGCAGGTAAATATAGACTCATACTCAAGTATGATATTTTCAGATACCCAAGGTCATCTTCTTCTTAAGGTACATATTTATTTCAGAGCTCACAATGGCTGAAAAAGTGGTCTTCTATTTTTATGTGAGAGGATTTAAAGTGCTAGGAATTATTAATATCATTAAAAGTAACTTACTTAAAAAGTAAGTCCAAAGTAGACTTTTAATGATAGCTAAAAGGCTGATTTTATCATGATGCAAACCAGTAGTTTGTGTTGTTAAAGATACTTCTAGATGCAAAGTGCTGCATGAGTAATTTGAGAGACATTCAGAACTATGATCAGAGATAAGCTATACCAGTGATATGTTTAGATAATCCTATGACAGAAAATGTAAGATTGTGACAAGAGATGAGATTATGTTACCCTGTTGGTTGTCAGCTTCACCCAGCTATGGTAACCCTTAAAAGTAGATCAGAAATAGTGCAGTGGAAGGTGGTGCAGCAGTGACACAAGGAAAGCAAATCCTCCTGCTTTCAGAAGAGCACATATAACAGGTGGATGTCTGACTGCAAAGATATCTTCCTGTTTTCAAAACACTAAAGATTCAAAATAGCAAATTAGACTCTGATCCCTGACCTAATAATCTTAATTTCTCAAACTTCAGTGAATATATGCAAGCCCTTGATGACTCACATATATATTTTTTGAGTTATGATTTATAAGGTGGAAAGTAGTTCCTGATAAATTCAAATCTGTGAATGTAAAAGTTAGTTAAAAGTAGTAACTAAAAGTAAGGTAATTTAAAGTACCTCATCAACCTTTTGTATAGCAGGATATAACTGTTCATCTCTTGTCCTAACTCATGTTTGTATAGTCTTTAAAAAAATCATCTCCTTTAAAATTTTACACATTCTACTTTTCATCCGGGCCTAACATGGTACGTGTTATGTTTGGAGGAAACTAATAGAAAATAATTCATACCCCCAAACAAAAATGTACAGTTAGTATATTTATTTCATTTACTATTTGTAATATCTTTTGCATCCAAGATGATTATTCCAAGTTTATAATTTTTTTCATTATGGAAGGCATACAGATATACTTCAAGAAAAAGAGAAAAATACTAAAATTAGCTATTGTCCTACCACAATATTTTGTTTTATTTCCAGACGCCCGCCCCACATTTTTTTTTTTGTCTGAGAACATAATAATGCAATTAGACCTCAGTAAAACTCTTAAAAACATAGTTTTGATCATGAAAGATATGGTAATTTTGCGTTTTTTTCAGTCTTCATTCCTAGTGTTCAATAAATGTTCCACAGTTTCCTAAATTTTTCCCTTTTTGTTGAACATTTGGATGATTTCCAATTTTTTGCTGTTCTTCTACAATATGTAGCTTTTTCTGGATGTATTATCTTCTTCGGAAAGATTAACAGAATTGTAACTATTGGGTCAAATTATATAAGCATTTTAAATCTATTGATTTATATTGATAAATTCTATTTTATAGATAGTACTAATTTTCATGTTGGAAGTGAAAATACTGATGCTACTAGCAGTGTACACATTAGTGTCTTTGTGTACACAGCTAGTAGCATCAGTATTTTCATTTTAAATAACCTTACTAGTTTAATAAGAAAAATATGTCTGATATTTTCATTTGCCATGTTGCTTATTAGTGGTACTTTTTTTTTTTTTTTTTTTGAGATGGAGTTTCATTCTGTCACCAGGCTGGAGTGCAGTGGTGCAATCTCAGCTCACTGCAACTTCCGCCTCCCAGGTTCAAGCGATTCTTCTGCCTCAGCCTCCCTAGGAGCTGGGACTACGGGCGCATGTACCATGCCCAGCTAATTTTTGTATTTTTAGTAAAGACAGTATTTCACCATGTTGGCCAGGATGGTCTTGATCTCTTGACCTCGTGATCTGCCCACCTCGGTCTTCCACAGTGCTGGGATTACAGACGTGAACCACTGCACCCGGCCCAATGGTACTTTTTCACTAGTTTTATTCCCTATTTTGAGAAGTGTTTCTATTATTTGTTTATTCATCAAGTGGAGCCTATTTATATGTTACAATTACTTACCCCTTTTCCACCATAACTGCTGCAAATACTTTTTCAGTGACTTGTCTTTTTCTTTGCAATGTGTGTTAGTTTTTGTTTAAATATATACAATTACAAATTCTGTATAGTAAAAATTCATCGGCCTTTTTCTATTTATTTGAATGCCTCTAAAATTAGGAGCTTTTCCCCACCACCCCCAGGTTTTGTAGTTTAATTTTATTATATTATAGCCAATACATTGAATAATCTTGATGCTTTTATTTTTGTCTTACTGCCCTTAAGGAAGGAGAGGTAAGGCAGTGGGACCCTGGAGCTCTTGGATGGTAACTAATTACTGACTGTGGTTGGCTCTACCACTCCCTGACAGGTGTTTAAAACTCAGTCTCTGGAGAGCAGTTTTCTAAGACTCTTCTGAAATTTCTCTATGGCCCATCAGGTTGGAACTCCTATGATGTGGGCAATACACATTGCCCTTTCCCTATGTCCTCTCAGTCTTCTCTCAGCTTCTTCTTTTTTTTTTCTTTCTAATGAACCATCCTACACAGACTCTCACTGTCAGGTGGAAGCCCTCATAGGCAGGGTCACAGGGCAGGCTTCACAACAAGTCCTCAGGACCTTTGCACCTCAGGCCCACTGTTAGAAGGGAAGATAATTAATTCTCAGCTCAGCAGCAACTTTCTTTTGGCCCTGCTGGGGTAGCTTCTCATTTTTCAAGGTCTCTAGATATTCAAGAAGGAAGCCAGATACCAATTCATTGTCACCTCAACTTAGAGTTCAGTTAGGTTGTCTAAATAATCCTTTGAGGAACTTACCCTAGCAGGCTTGAGGTAAAGGAGAGAATCCCCTTTACCCCTTACTCCTGCTGCTGAATATGCAGATTCCCACTCAGGTAAGCAACTGCTCTCTAAAGAAATCTTTTTTCAAATTCACCCTCCTCCACATCTGACACTTGTTACAGCTTTGATCTGGCTGAGGGATCTGAGTAATGAGTCCCATTTTGTACATCTTTGAAAATTTTTCTGAAAGAGACCTTGCATTCACTTTTCTATCAGTTATCAACTGAACTGCTTCAACTGAACTGAGGCAGAAAATTGCCGTTGTTAATATTTTATAAATTTTCCCTAAGCATTCTAATGCATAATTCATCTGAAATTTTTTTCTGTATTTAAGGATAGAATAGGTTTACCCCGTATTACAACCCATTTATTCATCGCTATTTGTTGAATAATTTCTCTCATCCTCGTTGTTTTGTAATACCTAATCAAGTAATAAAATATTACACATATTAGGACAATTATAGATTCTCTTTAATATACCATTGATTAATATCATCTTTGATAAAGAAGTGTGTGATACCAAACTATATGTAAAATATATTTCTGTTGTTTCTTATAGAAACATACTGAATATTTTAAGTTCCTGTAGTATGTTATTTTTACCTATGGTTTAAAATTCAGTTGGAAAAGCTGGGATGACAGGGCACATAGATAATTTAAAATGTCTTTTAATAAACAGTGTCAAATCTGCTGAACAAAGTTATATCTAAATTCTTATTGATTGTACACATTTTCCTCCTTTGTTAGAATATGCATCATATTGTGAAACTAATCCTTAACTACAGTATTAGGGTGATAGAAACTACTCTGAGGACACTGACTCAATACTTATCAAATCATTTGTCTGATTTGCTGAGGGAATTTCTGAAACGAATTCTACCTCTGAACCTCATGTCATTTTCTACCACAGATTTTCTCAAGTTACTTTATGCAGAAAAATGTGCATTAGTCCAAAAAATTAGGAAAAATTTTAAGAAACAAAGCCGAAAGTGAAAGAAACAACAAGTAGCTTAAAAGAATTAAAATATATGCATTTAACCCTTTCAGTTTCCTACTTGTGCATCTGGATTTGTACATAACCCACATTTGTGGGTAATCATGTGGATCTGTGTTGGGAGGAAGGTCATTATGCCTTTACTTGGAAAGCAAAGGAAGAAAGTTGGAAAAATTTAAGTAATTATTGTAATGGTGGTTTGTAAGATCTACAGGTGACCTTAGGTATCATATAGTACCATGTAAATGTTATTATAAGTGCAAAGAACAAGAACTGACAGCATGATTCTATTTTTTAAGTGCATATAATGTATAATTATACATAGTATAAGTATTTAAAATAATAAATATATAACACAAATTTTACAAACACACACACCCCTAAAGTATTAACAGTAATCTCCTTTGTTGAATACATTAGAGGAAAAGCAGTGGGGTGAGTAGGGATTCTCTTACTTTTCATCTTTGTAAATATTTATATGGTTTGAAAAAATTTTACAATGTTAATGTATTCCTTTTGTATTTTAAAAAATAAAATAATTTTAACAGACAAAATATCTTCTTTTACTACCTTCATTTCACAGGTAAGAAAGTTAACCGTGTAAGTTACATGACTTATCCAGGCTCACAAAACTTAGTCAGTGGGGCAACAGGATTAGAACTCAGGCTGGCCTACTCTTTTACAGTATTCTTATCTATACACTTCAGGGCATTTCCGTAGATTGACATTGTTAAGTAAGCCTTAATTGAGATATCTGGGTCATTAATACTGGGGAAGAGCATAGGGAATAATGGCTTTTTAAAATTAACAATAGGGCTAATTCTCATATGACCAAATTTGACATTCACTATCCTTCAGTTAGCTAACTTTTTATTGTCATGTTTCTAGAACAATACATTGAGAAGATGTTAAATATAAAAGAGATTATGGATAATGTGCTTGCCAAGCAGAAAGCAGAAAGGGATGATCTGGCTAAAAAATACAGGTGAGTAGAAAAAGGAAAAAAAGAAGAGTGCTTCTGAGTTTCTAGAATTTTTCCTTTTTAGCTGCAGTAGTTGTCTAGATTTCTTAAGAATACAAAAACACATTGCTTAGGGCCAAAAAATGACTTTATAAGGTTGTCTCATCTTTTACCACCGTGGAAAATTATACTTCCCAGAAAGGTATTTTTCTACATTATTACTTGAAATAGTCAAAAAAACAACATTTCAATATCTTAAAAAGTTGTCTACAGTAGAGAATTTTATGAAAGCTTTTCTGGTTGTGAATCCCACAGATAAATTTATTTCTTTAGCACACTCAAATTTTCTACACTAAAAAAATGTTTCTTTTTGCTGTCACAAATGTCCCTCTAATTACTGTATTTCTAAAATCCCAAGGTCCTTAAAGAGTTTTGTCCTGATTATATTGGTTATATACCTCTTCTCATATTTTTTGTGAAAAAAAGTTACTTTTTTTTTCTTGTTTTGGCATTATTTTTTATTAGTTTTCAATAGACTTAACTACTTATGCTCCCTATTCTTTATTCACCATTTTCTAAACGTGTCCTTATATATTCTTCTTTTATAATCATTTAATGTCTATTATGTATTCAATTTTTTTCTGAACTTATTTTTAAAAATCAGTTTTCTATTTTTATTTTTAATCCCCATTTTGCCTTCTTCTCCAGTGAAGAGCTAACATAAGTTCCCTTCTATTTCGTCCTTGTTTTCCTGTCAATATAAAGCAGTGAGCTTCTATAATCTACATATGGGTAATTTTAGGGGACTTTAGAGAGGCTTGCTTGAATTTCCTTTAGTGTCCTGTGGTTAACAATGTACTACACCTGGAATTTTCAAAAGTTTCTGATCAATTGGAGTTTCACTATGTAAATTCTTATTAATATTGCTGTAAGACTTCACATCTTGGTGTGGGTAATCTAAAGTTTTGTCTCTGAACTCCTTGTTTCACATAGTTTTAAGTCTGATGTTATGCATTTCTTTTGCATTTTATGCTACCAGTTGTTTGCTAATCTGAGTCCTTCTTCTTGCTGATTTTTTCACTTATGTATACTACTTCTTTTAACATCCAGTCTGCTGGGAGTTTAGTATCAGCTCTAAACTTTGATAGGAGAGGCAAGATATATATCTATACTATTGCTTTTCCTTAAAACAGCAGCTCTTAAACTGTGGTCCAGGGAACCCTGGTGGGGTTCCTGAGACCGTTTCACAGGATCTGTGAAGTCAAAACTATTTTTTAATAATAATACTAAGATGTTATTGCTCTCTTGCTCTCATTCTCTCATGAATGTACAGTGGAATTTTTCAGAGGCCACATGATACATGATAAAGCCTGATAGAATGTGTTGTGTATTCTTTTGTTTAAAAAGTTTTCTCAGTTTTAATTTCTAAAACAATAAATACTGATAGATATTCATACACACAAAAGCTGTTTGGGTTCCTCAATAATTTTTAAAAGTTCAAATAGTTCCTGAGACCAAAAAGTTTGAGAACCACTGAAAACAAAGTATCTGATAATCTGAAGGTCAGGGTGGGATTGGTGGGCATAATCAAAAGACAAAAGTATGAACATGTGAAAAGCCATTTCCTCTTCCTTAGTCCTCAGGGCCTTGAGAAATTCAGTTTGGGGAAGACACACAGAATGATGCTTTCCTGGGTAGTCCCTCTGGACTTGGAAGTGTCTTCATACAGGTTCAAAATACAATTACGGTAATTACTTGGGGAACAAACATTTCTCAGGTCTAGCTGAAGTATGATTATTCACAAAACAATCTTGTTCTTCCATAGCTAAGAGAACCTGAATAGAACTTTCAAATTGTACTTACTAATAAACAGGTAAGCAAGCCCCAAATTTGAAGAATGATGACTTTCCTTAGCCACCAATTGCTACCTTCCAACCTATAGATGCTACCTTCCAATCTATAGATGTTTAGATAGATGATCCAAGTTTTGTTTATCTTTTAGAGTTGACTCACAATTGATAATAATGATATGAATATAAAATCTTGATAACCTTACTGTCAACTCCTTAAGAAAAGGGCACACTTATCTTAAATAAAGGAATCAGTTTCCTCTCAAAGGAAATATTTTGTGTCAACAGGCTGCAGGTGGTCAGATTAAAAAAATCAAAGGCAGTAAATTGCACAGGTATAGTTCTGTGTATTTTAAAGTTATTAAAATTGAGACAAAGTATCTTTGACCTCTAAATGACTGCTTTAAAAAGTTTTCTGCTGTTACTGCATTTTTTTCTCTTTCTGTTTCTTCCTATAGGATATCCATAGAGTCATTTAAGCATGGAGCCCTGAGAGAACAATTGGCCAACTTGGTGGCAAGACAGAAGAGTCTTTTAGTTGTGGCAAAAAAACAGAAAAGAATAAGCCTGAAAATTCAAAACTATAAGAATGTTACATCATTGCCTTGTCTTAGTTTAAGGAAGTTCCCACCCAGGTCAGAAAACTGCAGTGAAAAGGACAACCAAGAACTCACTAGTCTGGAAAATTTAGAGCATCCCCAATCAGGTTTACTTTCTCCTGTTTGTGGAAGCATGCAGGAAACACAATTGTCTCTGGAAACTTGGAACTACAGCCAAAATACCAACATTTGTCTAAATTCAGAGGCAGTGAGAAGGGGAGAATTTTCTGGAAATGATGTGAATTCTAAACAAAATGTCAGTGATTGTACCTTGGATGGTTTTCCAAAATCCCAACATTCAGATGGCACAGAGAATAATAAATTACCATCCCAACCTGTTGCTTTTATTGGTCAAACAGAATATTCACAGAAAGAGAAAGAGAATGATCTTACAGAAGCTACAGACAAAGACCATGAATTCTGTATTCCTTCCCCAGTAATCGGCAAATTAAATATTTCAGAAACTGCAAGTGTCCTTGCCGAAAATTCTGCCCATCCATCAAATATTATTTGTGATCAGGACCTTTCCAATTATCATCCCAAAAGAGGAAACAGGAAAACAGCTTCCCGGCAATCACCTACAGGGGCATCAGAATCCCTGGCACATCAAGGGGTTGCTGTCTTAGGCAGTGATACAGTGCATCTGATGAAACCATGTCGTAAAAAATCAGTTTCTGCTGTTCCACGTGCAGATGACAGTCAGATCTCCTCTTCCTCTGGATCTGGGCAACAAGATATTATAAAAAAGCCTTTAAACTACAGTACAGCTCCTAAAAAGAAATGTATTCAGATAAAAGATTTGATATTACTAGGAAGAATTAACCCAGGAAATAACATTCTGGAATTCAAAACACAGGTATTCTATATTTTACTCTCTAAAATCATGCAAATTTTATAAATAAGTTAGTAAATGTTGCTGTCACATAATATAGACATTTAGCTCTGATTTGGGAAATGGGGTTTTGCTGGGCTTCCTGAATGGAGGGACACAACCATTGTATTCTTAGCAAGTGAATTCATATTTCTGAAATTGCCCTGATACATTTATTTTTATTTTTTAAATTTTAATTTTTAAGTTCCAGGATACATGTGCAGGATGTGCAGGTTTGTTACGTAGATAAACAAGTGGCATGGTGGTTTACTGCACCTGTCAACCCATAACCTAGGTATTAAACCCAGCATGCATTGGCTATTTTTCCTAATGCTCTCCCTCCCTCAACCCCATTCCCCAACAGGCCCCAATGCGTGCTGTTCCCCTTCCTGTGTCCACATGTTCTCATTGTTCAGCTCCCACTTATAAGTCAGAACATGCAGCATTTGATTTTCTATTCCTACATTAGTTTGCTGAGGATAATGGCTTCCAGCTGCGTTCATGTCTCTGCAGAGGACATGATCTCATTCCTTTTTATGGCTGCATAGTATTCCATGGAGTATATGTACCACATTTTGTTTATCTGGTCTATCATTGATGGGCATTTGGTTGATTCCATGTCTTTGCTATTGTGAACAGTGCTGCAGTGACCATACATGTGCATGTATCTTTGTAACAGAATAATTTATATTCCTTTGGGTATATGCCCAGTAATAGGATTGCTGGGGCAAATGGTATTTCTGGTTCTAGATCTTTGAGGAGTCACCACACTGTCTTTCACAATGGTTGAACTAATTTACATTCCCACCAACAGTATAAAAGCATTCCTATTTATCTGCAACCTCGCCAGCATCGGTTGTTTCTTGACTTTTTAATAATCACTGTTCTGACTGGTGTGAGAAGGTATCTCATAGTGGTTTTGATTTGCATTTCTCTAATGATCAGTGATGTTGAGCTTTTATTCATATGTTTTTTGGCCATATGAATGTCTTCTTTAAACCTGACAAAAACAAGCAATGGAGAAATAATTCCCTATTTAATAAATGCTGCTGAGAGAACTGGCTAACCATATGCAGAAAATTGAAACTGGACCCCTTCCTTACACCTTATACAAAAATTAACTCAAGATGGATTAAAGGATCAGAGGTTCCAAGATGGCCAAATAGGAACAGCTCTAGTCTACAGCTCCTAGCGTGAGCAACTCAGAAGACAGGTGATTTCTGCATTTCGAACTGAGGTACTGGGTTCATCTCACTAGGGCTTGTCGGAGAGTGGGTGCAGCCCATGGAGCATGAGTCAAAGCAGGGCGGGGCATCGCCTCACCAGGGAAGTACAAGGGGTCGGGGAATTCCCTTTCCTAGCCAAGGGAAGCTATGACAGATGGTACCTGGAAAATCGGGACACTCCCACCCTAATACTGCACTCTTCCCATGGTCTTAGCAAACGACACACTAGGAGATTATATCCCACGCCTGGCTTGGAGGGTCCCACGCCCACGGAGCCTCACTCACTGCTAGCATAGCAGTCTGAGATCGAACTGTAAGGTGACAGCAAGGCTGGGGGAGGGGCGTCCACCATTGCTGAGGCTTGAGTAGGTAAAAAAAAGCAGCCAGGAAGCTCAAACTGGGTGGAGCCCACCACATCCCAAGGAGGCCTCCCTGCCTCCGTAGACTCCACCTCTGGGGGCAGGACATAGCTGAACAAAAGGCAGCAGAAACTTCTGCAGACTTAAACGTCCATCTGACAGCTTTGAAGAGATTAGTGGTTCTCCCTGCATGGAGTTTGAGATCTGAGAACGGACAGACTGCCTCTTCAAGTGGGTCCCTGAACACCGAGTAGCCTAACTGGGAGGTACCTCCCAGTAGGGGCCGACTGACACCTCATACGGCTGGGTGCCCCTCTAAGACGAAGCTTCCAGAGGAAGAATCAGGCAGCAACATTTTCCGTTCTGCAATATTTGCTGTTCTGCAGCCTCTGCCAGTGATACCCAGGCAAACAGGGTCTGGAGTGGACCTCCAGCAAACTCCAACAGACCTGCAGCTGAGGGTCCTGACTGTTAGAAGGAAAACTAACAAACAGAAAGGACATCCACACCAAAACTCCATCTGTACGTCACCATCATCAAAAACCAAAGGTAGATAAAATGACAAAGATGGGGAGAAACCAGAGCAGAAAAGCTGAAAATTCTAAATATCAGAGTGCCTCTTCTCCTCCAAAGGAACGCAGCTCCTCGCCAGAAACAGAACAAAGCTGGATGGAGAATGACTTTGAGGGGTGGAGAGAAGGCTTCAAATGATTGGTAATAACAAACTCCGAGCTAAAGGAGGATGTTTAAACCCATCGCAAAGAAGCTAAAAACCTTGAAAGAAAATTAGACGAATGGCTAACTAGAATAAACAGCATAAAGAAGACCTTAAATGACCTGATGGAGCTGAAAACCATGGCACGAGAACTACATGACGCATGCACAAACTTCAGTAGCCAATTCGATCAAGTGGAAGAAAGGGTATCAGTGATTGAAGATCAAATGAATGAAATGAAACAGGAGGAGAAGTTTAGAGAATAAAGAGTAAAAAGAAACAAACAAAGACTCCAAGAAATATGGGACTATGTGAAAAGACCAAATCTACATCTGATCAGTGTACCTGAAAGTGGCAGGGAGAATGGAACCAAATTGGAAAACACTCTTCAGGATATTATCCAGGAGAACTTCCCCAACCTAGCAAGGCAGGCCAACATTCAAATTCAGGAAATACAGAGAACGCCATAAAGATACTCCTCAAGAAGAGCAACCCCAAGTCACATAATTGTCAGATTCACCAAAGTTGAAATGAAGGAAATAATGTTAAGGGCAGCCAGAGAGAAAGGTCAAGTTACTCACAAAGGGAAGCCCATCAAACTAACAGCAGATCTCTTGGCAGAAACTCTACAAGCCAGAAGACAGTGGGGGCCAATATTCAACATTCTTAAAGAATTTTCAGCCCAGAATTTCATATCCAGCCAAACTTAAGTTTCACAAGTGAAGGAGAAATAAAATCCTTAAAAGACAAGCAAATGCTGAGAGATTTTGTCACCACCAGGACTGCCTTACAAGAGCTCCTGAAGGAATCACTAAACATGGAAAGGAACAACTGGTACCAGCCCCTGCAAAAACATGTCAAATTGTAAAGACCATCAATGCTAAGAGGAAACCGCATCAACTAACGAGCAAAATAACCAGCTAACATCATAATGACAGGATCAAATTAACACATAATAATATTAACCTTAAATGAAAATGGGCTAACTGCTCCAGTTAAAAGACACAGACTGCCAAATTGGAAAAAGAGTCAAGACGCAACAGTGTGCTGTATTCAGGAGACCCATCTCATGGGCAGAGACACACATAGGCTCAAAATAAAGGGATGGAGGAAGATCTACCAAGCAAATGGAAAATAGAAAAAAGCAGGGGTTGCATCCTAGTCTCTGATAAAACAGACTTTAAACCGACAAAGACCAAAAGAGACAAAGAAGGCCATTACATAATGGTAAAGGATCAATTCAACAAGAAGAGCTAACTATCCTAAATATATATGCACCCAATACAGGAACACCCAGATTCATAAAGCAAGTCCTCAGAGACCTACAAAGAGACTTAGACTCCCACACAATAATAATGGGAGACTTTAACACCCCACTGTCAACATTAGACAGATCAACAAGACAGAGGGTTAACAAGGATATCCAAGAATTGAACTCAGCTCTTCACCAAGCAGACCTAATAGACATCTACAGAACTGTCCACCCCAAATCAACAGAATATACATTCTTCTCAGCACCACATCACACTTATTCCAAAATTGACCACATAGTTGGAAGAAAAGCACTCCTCATCAAATGTAGAAGAACAGATATTATAGCAAACTGTCTCTCAGACTACAGTGCAATCAAAGTAGAACTCAGGATTAAGAAACTCACTAAAAACTGCTCAACTACATGGAAACTGAACAACCTGCTCCTGAATGACTACTGGGTACTTAACGAAATGAAGGCAGAAATAAAGATGTTCTTTGAAACCAATGAGAACAAAGATACAACATACCAGAATCTCTGGGACACATTTAAAGCAGTATGTAGAGGGAAATTTATAGCACTAAATGCCCACAAGAGAAAGCAGGAAAGATCTAAAATTGACACCCTAACATCACAATTAAAAGAACTAGAGAAGCAAGAGCAACCACATTCAAAAGCTAGCAGAAGGCGAGAAATAACTAAGATCAGAGCAGAACTGAAGGAGTTAGAGACACAAAAAAAAACTTCAAAAAATCAATGAATCCGGGAGGTGATTTTTTGAAAAGATCAACAAAATTAATAGACCACTAGCAAGACTAGTAAAGAAGAAAAGAGAGAAGAACCCAATAGGCACAATAAAAAATGATAAAGGGGATATCATCACTGATCCCACAGAAATAGAAACTACAATCAGAGAATACTATAAATACCTCTATACAAATAAACTAGAAAATCTAGAAGAAATGGATAAATTCCTGGACACATACACTCTCCCAAGACTAAACCAGGAAGAAGTTGAGTCTCTGAATAGACCAATAACAGGCTCTGAAATTGAAGCAATAATTAATAGCCTGACAACCAAAAAAAGTCCAGGACCAGATGGATTCACAGGCTAATTCTACCAGAGGTACAAGGAGGAGCTGGTACCATTCCTTGTGAAACTATTCCAATCAATAGAAAAAGAGGGAATCCTCCCTAACTCATTTTATGAGGCAGCATCATCCTGATACTAAAGCCTGGTAGAGACACAACAAAAAAAGAGAAGTTTAGACCAATATCCCTGATGAACATCGATGCAAAAATCCTCAATGAAATACTGGCAAACCGAATCCAGCAGCAGATCAAAAAGCTTATCCACCATGATCAAGTTGGCTTCATCCCTGGGGTGCAAGTCTGGTTCAGCATATGAAAATCAATAAATGTAATCCATCATAAAAACAGAACCAAAGACAAAAACCACATGATTATCTCAATAGATGCAGAAAAGGCCTTCGACAAAATTCAACAGCCCTTCTTACTAAAAACTCTCAATAAACTAGGTACTGATAGGACATATCTGAAAATAATAAGAGCTATTTATGACAAACCCACAGCCAATATCATACTGAATGGGCAAAAACTGGAAGCATTCTCTTTGAAAACTGGCACAAGACAGGGACGTCCTCTCTCACCACTCCTATTCAACATAGTGTTGGAAGTTCTGGCCAGGGCAATCAGGCAGGAGAAAGAAATAAAGGGAATTCAATTAGGAAAAGAGGAAGTCCAATTGTCCCTGTTTTCAGATGACATGATTGTATATTTAGAAAACCCCATCGTCTCACCCCAAAGCCTTCTTAAGCTGATAAGCAACTTCAGCAAAGTCTCAGGATACAAAATCAATGTGCAAAAATCACAAGAATTCCCATACACCAATAACAGACAGAGAGCCAAATCATGAGTGAACTCCCATTCACAATTGCTTCAAAGAGACTAAAATACCTAGGAATCCAACTTACAAGGGATGTGAAGGACCTCTTTAAGGAGAACTACAAACCACTGCTCAACGAAATAAAAGAGGACACAAACAAATGGAAGAACATTCTATGCTCATGGATAGGAAGAATCAATATCGTGAAAATGGCCATACTGCCCAAGGTAATTTACAGATTCAATGCCATCCCCATCAAGCTACCAATGACTTTGTTCACAGAATTGGAAAAAACTACTTTAAAGTTCATATGGAACCGAAAAAGAACCCGCATTACCAAAACAATCCTAAGCCAAAAGAACAAAGTTGGATGCGTCATGCTACCTGACTTCAAAGGATACTACAAGGCTACTGTAACCAAAACAGCATGGTACTAGTACCAAAACAGAGATATAGACCAATGGAACAGAACAGAGCCCTCATAAATAATACCACATATCTACACAGATTTGATCTTTGACAAACCTGACAAAAACAAGAAATGGGGAAATTATTCCCTATTTAATAAGTGGTGCTGGGAAAACTGGGTAGCCATGTGTAGAAGGCTGAAACTGAATCCCCTCCTTACACCTTATACAAAAATTAATTCAAGATGGATTAAAGACTTAAATGTCAGACCTAAAACCATAAAAACCCTAGAAGAAAACCTAGGCGATACCATTCAGGACATAGGCATGGGCAAGGACTTCATGACTAAAACACCAAAAGCAATGGCAACAAAAACCAAAATTGACAAATGGGATCTAATTAAACTAAAGAGCTTCTGCACAACAAAAGAAACTACCATCAGAGTGAACAGGCAACCTACAGAATGGGAGAAAATTTTTACCATCTATCCATCTGACAAAGGGCTAATATCCAGAATCTACAAAGAACTTAAATTTACAAGAAAAAATCAAACAACTGCATCAAAAAGTGGGCAAAGGATACAAACAGACACTTCTCAAAAGAAGAAATTTATGCAGCCAGCAGACACATGAAAAAATGCTCATCATCACTGGCCATCAGAGAAATGCAAATCAAAACCACAATGAGATACCATCTCACACCAGTTAGAATGACGATCATTAAAAAGTCAGGAAACAACAGGTGTTGGAGAGGATGTGGAGAAATAGGAATACTTTTACACTGTTGGTGGGACTGTAAACTAGTTCAACCATTGTGGAAGACAGTGTGGCGATTCCTCAAGGATCTAGAACTAGAAATACCATTTGACCCAGCCATCCCATTACTGGATATATACCCAAAGGATTATAAATCATGCTGCTATATAGACACATGCACACATATGTTTACTGTGGCACTATTCACAATAGTAAAGACTTGGAACCAACCCAAATGTCCATCAATGATAGACTGGATTAAGAAAATGTGGCACATATACACCATGGAATATGATGCAGCCATAAAAAGGATGAGTTCATGTCCTTTGTAGGGGCATGGGTGAAGCTGGAAACCATCATTCTGAGCAAACTGTCGCAAGGACAGAAAACCAAACACCGCGTTTTCTCACTCATAGGTGGAAATTGAACAATGAGAACACTTGAACACAGGGTGGGGAACATCACACACTGGGCCTTCTTCATGCTCTGTTGCAAATGAAGTTAATTCCTTCGGGAGGAGATTAGGAGCTATCTATTTTAAGGCCTACTTCTCTTCTCAGGCAGAATCCCTGAGCCATGGCCCTGGAGGTGACGGTGGGGACAAAGGTGATTTTTCAAGTGATATCCTTGCTTTAGGAGCTGAGCATTTGGTAGAGGGGAGGCAGTAGCTTCATGTCTTTTCAGTTTGCCTCTCCCAATGTGAAACCACCACCTTACAAGCCAAAGCAAGGGTGATCGGGATCCCAGCATTCTCAGTGGTGCCATGCCAAAGGTGGAGCCTCTGTCTCAACACTCACAGCTAGGCAGGAGAAGGGAGCCTCCACCCTTTGGCTATAGTTGCTGGCAACTTAGCGTTAGCAACAGTGGCTGGGGGCAGGATGAGCAATGCTGAAGTTATGCCCCTCCCAGGAAGACAGCTCTGTAACAGGGAGCCCTGTAGTCTTGACTACAGCAATCTAGAGTGGAGTTTCCACTTCACAGAGCTGAGAGTAGGGAGGGAAGATGCAGTCTTGGTTCAAATACCATAGACTCACCTTTTTAATCCAATTTTTGTAGATTTTGTTGACTAGATGGTTCATGATTTGCTGCATGCCCTTATGACCATATCTAGATACATTAAATTTGTATACAAAAATTAAAAAATCAGGTGTTAGGGTGTATCTGGTCCCTGTTACTTTGTCATGGCCAGAAGCAAAAGTTCATATATTTCAGCTATTTTTGACCCTAATTTTTTTTTTATTTTTCACTTCAGGAGACTACCCACAAAGCCAGCATTTTATTGAATGGTAAACTTAAGGTAGAAAGTGGTCAGATTTATAAAAGCCCAGTCACCTGGCTCAAGGATCTTCTGGGAGGCAACAGTTACGTGACCTGGAATTATGCTTGGAGTAAGGTGGGTCATTCTTAAGTTTATCTTTAACTTCATATTCAAATGGAAAAGTACATATTTTTATGTTGAAAGTATTTTTAAGGAAATCTGAAAGATCTCCAAGCTAGTTTTGTTTTCATGTGTTCATTGTGTATATGTTACATGCATATCATGCTACATGCATGTCACAGAATAAACACGTCACTTTTTCCCACAAGTCCTATTTGCCAGAATTCACCGTGGGCATGGTTGCATAGCTGACTGCACCTTCCCTTTCTTACTCCTTATCTAGTCTCAGAACTTTAATGCCTTTAATCTTCCCATTTGATCTCCCAAGGGATTTCAGGTCTTTGTAACTCTGTATGGAAAATTTGGAACCACTGGTATATTGGTAACTTAGTTAATATATGTTATTATTCTAATGAAGTAAAGCAAAACCTCCTAAATACAAAAGAAATGGGCAAGAGGCCTAAGACCCACAGAAATTATCATGTATTTTTATGTTTGAACATGTCCTTATTCATGAATTGCTAGCCCTTCAAAATGAATTACTTTCATTTAGACCTCCTAGACTTAGTAGGCTCCCTCTCAGTTCTGGCTTCTGAGTTATAAGCCCAGTAATGACTGATATTCTTGAGGTCTAGTGTTCATCCACCTCCAGATGTCCATGGCACTACTTCAGGAACAGTCTTAAAATGATTCTTCAGGAAAGTCTGAGTCTTCAGACATCTGCCATGAGTGTTTCAAAGACTAGAAGATACACTCAACCTCTACTAACCATTACAGTAAACCTCAGTTTACCAGTAATAGGAAGCACAGCTTTCTCTCCTCTTTTTTGTTTAACCCAGGTCTACCCACTCTCCCTCCCAGTCCCTTTTGTGCCCTCAAAGTCTATGTTCTGTGTCCCAGACTCTGTGCCCAACTCTGCATTCTGGTCTCCTAGACCTTGTTGGCAAGTGCATCTAGCACTGTTTCAGTTCCTTCACTTACATCAGCACATTCTGGATTCTGTCTGCTATATGGTCTGTCTGACTTTTTATTTTCCCAAAGTTTGTTTTTATTTCCCACTCCTGGAGTCACCAGGCCATCTGCTTTCAGTTCATCTTAGCCCGTTTGCCCAATCCTTTCCATGGATTCTTAATTCGTATCTAAATGTTAGTAATTAACATCTTGCCCATGAAAATTCCGTTTTGTTACAAGGTTTCTTAAACTTATGATAGATTATACTGTTTTTCTGAAACTGAATCTTTGCTCACAGGACAGACAGCATACTGAATGCTGTAGCTTAGGTTCTTTTGAGCTCAACATGCCTGTGCTGCAGTGTGCCTGGTGATGATTCCATTTGCCCACTCTGTTTCTCTCTTAGAACTACTGTTATTTCCTGCCTTTGAATAGCTGGCTGTGACATCATTTGGCCCTTACTCTGTACTAATGCCTCATTTATATCTCATTGCCTCTAGTATTTTCTCATAGCCATGTCAATTAGAGTCATACTGTTTAGCACCTATGTGATAGTGAAGCCACATGCGAATGTGGGCACTAAAAGTAGAGCAATTCTCAGATATAACATATTCCTACAGATATCTAAACAGGCTTATTTTCTTTAGATTATCAAAAAAATGAAAATAGAGTTTTAAAAATTACTACGGGCACTGATGTACTTCTAGTAAATACCCCAAGCTGAGAAACATTACCCTAGTGATTTTCTTTACAGTATTTAAAAGGCTCTTTTAAAGTCTTTTAAAATTTACCACATAAACCTCTGCCTCTTCTTGTCTTGGAGTAACTCCTGAATTCAGTCACTTCTTGATGAAAGGAACTTTTTGCTACATGGAAAACCAAACACCGCATGTTCTCACTCATAGGTGGGAACTGAACAATGAGATCACTTGGACTCAGGAAGGGGAACATCACACACCGGGGCCTATCATGGGGAGGGGGGAGGGGGGAGGGATTGCATTGGGAGTTATACCTGATGTAAATGACGAGTTGATGGGTGCAGCACACCAACATGGCACAAGTATACATATGTAACAAACCTGCACGTTATGCACATGTACCCTACAACTTAAAGTATAATAATAATAAAAAAATTTAAAAAAAAAATGTGAACATTTCTACTGACTAGTTCTGAGAGTGGTGGTGGGGTATGGGACCAGGAGTGGGTGATGGTCAGGCAAGGAATGCCAGAAAACAAGATATTGCCCTGTATCTGACAGAGCGACAGAGCCAGTAGGTGCAGAGATGACTCAAACTTCCAACCCAAGCAGTTGCTGAACAGCTTTGCCAAGGAAATCCTGATGCTTACTCAGAGAGGGCATCACTGACTTCTTTTCTGCAGCCTCCCAGCTGTTGGACAACATTCTGGTGTGGCAGAGTAATTTGTGGGTGGGAGGCAGCAGACCAAGCTAGTTCCTGGTTCCACTCTTTATAAGTTATATTATCTGGGCAATGGTTTTCAATCACATTGGAATCACTTGAGGGCCTTTAGAAACCACTAGTGCCTAGCAGACTCCAAGCCCATAGCTCCTGATCTAATATCTATGTAGGGACCAAGTGGCAATATTTGAAAAAGCATTCCAGGCAATTCTAATGTGCAACCTCAGTAAGAATGATTAATCTGGGTCAAGCCATTTCACCTTTCTGAACTTCAGCTTTCTTATGCATGAAATAAGTAGTGCTAGGTGATATCTAAAGACCCTTCCAACATAGCGATTGTGGAGCTTGAATAGCACTGTTTGATTTATAAAGCAGTTTTATACAACTTTATGAGGCAGGAAGATCAACTATTATTTCTGTTCATGGATGTGAAAACAAAGATTTGGGAGGTTAAATGACCTGATTTGGTCTCGAGGCCAGGCAGAACCAGAACTAGAACCTGATTTTCTGATTCCCTATACATTCTTTTCTGTATTTATAATGGCACAAGAGAGGCACACATTCCTTTCATTAGAAACAGGTTGCTCTGAACTCAAAAGAGCACACAGTACAATCTAGCCACCTTTATGAATGTATGCAAAGCCTTAGTCATGTGCAGCAACTGTTGCCTACTTCCACAGGAAAAATGCCTTTCTGTGATACAGTTGCAGGATGAAAATCGTAAGAATCGTATGAATGGAAATGATGGTTTATTTTTGTAAATACTCAACAGTGAATTACTGCAGATGAAAAGTAGGCTGCTATTTTAGGCAGTGCTTCAAGGAACATTAGACAGATCTCTTCTGCAAACATACTTCCCATCCGGATGCCTCCCTGAATTTCCACGCTTATTTCCACCCTTTCCACTCCTTTGGATTTAGTGATCACTTTTTTCTGTGGTTCCCCTCACCTCCCACCTCCCCAACACACACATACTTTTTAAGAAAAATTCCTCTCACCATCATGATTAAGAATATCAAGATGTGAAAAGGTTGGGGTGGGAGTATAGAAACTGATGGAAATTGTTCATCTCAACAGACAGCCTCATTCTGTCAATTACTCATACTCTCAATGTGTCCCAAACCTCCTATGAACCTAGCTTCTACTCAGCTACATTTTAGAACACAAAGAAAAAGAAGGAGGTGGTTAGATATGTGGACCTCTTTTAAAATACAAATATCCAGGAGTTTTGAATCCTGAAAATATAAATAATGTGAAGGGCCTTCTCTTGCCTCTAGCTACATAGAGTGTTGGGAGTGTGAAAAAAGAGTCTGGAATGGGGAGGTTGGTACCATGAAGGTGAGCTTTACCTGCATCATTTCCATAGAAACAGCTCTTCCAAGGCAGTTTTTGCACTTTGAAACTACTTTCTGTCTTATATTCTGAATTCCTAAAGAAATATTTTATTTGAGAAATATTTTTATTTTATTTTCTTAGCCACAATGTATTTTGTGTTACAATGAATTTAAAAGAAAACCTACAGTTTTTTTTATTGTTTTATTTGCTCTTTTTCCACCCTGAGGTGAAAAGCAATTATTCTTTCCTCCTTCTACTCCTCTTGGAGCAGTGAAACTTTGTAAGATTGACTTCTTAAAACTTGCAATGGAATAAAAGTAGTTATTTGATCATCCATGAACAGATTTCTTTTCTTTCGTTTTTTTTCTTTTTTTTTCTTTTTGAGCCAGAGTCTCGCTCTGTTGCCCAGGCTGGGGTGCAGTGGCCCGATCTTGGATCACTATAGCCTCTGCCTCCCAGGTTCAAGTGATTCTCCTGCCTCAGCCTTACAAGTAGCTGGGACTACCACCACGCCCAGCTAATTTTTGTATTTTTAGTAGAGATGGGGTTTCACCACGTTGACCAGGCTGGTCTCAAATTCCTGACCTCAGGCGATCCCCTAACCTCGGCCTCCCAAAGTGCTGGGGTTACAGGTGTGAGTCACCATGCCTGGCCATCCATGAACAGATTTCTATTAGTCAACACCAACAAATGGTTCTTCTGAAGACATATGAAAATGGGCTGATATTTTCAAATAAAATGGAGTCCCAGAAGGGAAGTATATGCAAAGGCAGGTTATGTTTCATTCTTTTTTGATGCATATTACTACATAAGATGTAGAGAAATATTTATTATGGCAATTAATAATGACAATACTGCACTTTATTTATCCCAGAGACCTTACCAAAATAAAGTTGATTAATAATTTCACTTGGCTCATTAACTACATTTCCAGAATACTGGCTGGCTGAGTCATCTATTTTCCTCAAACATGCACACACGCACACACACACACACACACAGACATTCTACACTCCCTACTTTTCCCTAGTATGATATTGGAGAATCAGCATAATTTCCTCTTTTTGTTGTTATTACACTTTAGGTTCTAGGGTACATGTGCACAACGTGCAGGTTTGTTACATATGTATACAAGTGCCATGATGGTGTGCGGCACCCATTAACTCGTCATTTACATTAGGTATATCTCCTAATGCTATCCCTCCCCCACTCTCCTCCCCACCCCACGACAGGCCCCAGCGTGTGATGTTGCCCTTCCTGTGTCCAAGTGTTCCCATTGTTCAATTCCCACCTATGAGTGAGAACATGCGGTGTTTGGTTTTCTGTCCTTGTTATAGTTTGCTCAGAATGATGGTTTCCAGCTTCATCCATGCCCCTACAAAGGACATGAACTCATCCTTTTTTATGGCTGCATAGTATTCCATGGTGTGTATGTGCCATATTTTCTTAATCCAGTCTCAGCATAGACTAATTTCTAAGGAATAATGGAGTGTTGTAAGAGCTTCAGGGAAAGCATCAGTGGCCCAGCACAACAACCTACAGATATCCTCACCGAACATGCCTTACACTAAGCTCCATCTCTCTTACATGTTCTCATCTGGCATCCTGTCAGCTGCCCTTCATCAAAATAGGTTTGGACAGTGAAGTTGCTGAGATCACTGGAGGCTATGTTGTTCAAGAGCCTAAGAACTTAGCCTCCAGCTCTTCCTACCATGCCTCTGTCAGAGTAGGCATATGAGCTAGATTTGAATCCAGAGAAATGTAGTTCAGGATTCAGAGTTTGAGTCATACACAGATGTAATGACTGCCTTTATGCTTTAGCCCACTGGAGGTTTTTCACAACACTAATATGAAATGCACATTTTCTAGAAGTGATCTAGTGTCTGTTCATTTTGAGATCTATTCATTAACCTGTTCAATAAATCACTCCTAAGGGAAAATAGATTTTTAACTCGGTGGATATTCTTAAAACTGTATTCTTTATCTGAATTACCTGCAGTGGAATGTGTAAGTCATCTTATATTGCCCAGCACTAACTAATAATATTTTTAAAGTCTGAGATATAGGTGCGAACATACTGAGCCTGCACTTTGATGGATTCATGAGATGTGTTGGACATTGTCAGGGTGTAACACATACAAAATCTATTATTTCCAATAACTGGTCGTTTGGAGAACTGACAAATGGCATTCAGGGGCCTCTCCTCCATTTTCTATGGCAAGTGAAAAGGGATTGACACATTGAGTAGGCTGGTCTGTTCCATTTTCATTGCCAGGCTTTGTTTGGTCATAGGATTGAGCCCAAAGGGTATCTGTACCTTTAAGATCCCCTAGACCTTTCTCACGCTGTTCAATTTAACATTTATTGAGTACTCGGAATGTACTACACAGTATGCCAGATGCTTTTCTTGCATTATCACTTTTAATCCTCACAACAATTTAATAAGCTGGAGACATTTTTTTTACAAACACAAATTGAGGCTTAGGGAATTTGAGAATCTTTCTTAAGAGTTGGGACTTCACAGCCAGGCACGGTGGCTCACACCTGTAATCCCAGCACTTTGGGAGGCTGAGGCAGGTGGATCATTTGAGGTCAGGAGTTCGAGACCACCCTGGCCAACATGGCAAAACCCTGTATCTACTAAAAATACAAAAATTAGCCAGGCATGGTGGCACACACCTGTAATTCTAGCTCCTAGGGAGGCTAAGGCATGGGAGGCTGAGGCATGGGAGACTGAGGCATAAGAATTGCTTGAACTCAGGAGGTGGAGATTGCAGTGAGCCGAGATCACGCCAGTGTACTCCAGCCTGGGTGACAGAGTGAGACTCTCTCAAAAAAAAAAAAAAAAATTAAAAGAAAAGAAAAAGAGTCGGGACTTCAGAGTCTTTTATCCAGTATCATCAGGCACTCTGTGAACTGCTGAGAGTATTCAAATGAATATGATACAGACCCTGTCCTCAAAGAGCTTATGGTTTAATAGAAACAGATGTATTAAAACATAATTTCATTTATATGAGGTAAGTACCATGACAGAAATATGAGTAAAGAAGTTTTGGGAACCTAGAGGAGGATCATTACTTGAATCTAGAAGTTATAGGGAGGCATCCTGGAGGAAGGGATGTTCAAGTTGAATCTTGATGCTTTGCCCACAGTCAACCAACATCTGGAGGTATATTAATAGATTATCCTAAAGCTAAGAGTAAAGAACCCAAAGACCCTTGGGCCCAGAACATTTCTGGCAGAATTTACCGTTTCTGCCTCAGCCCTGGCTATTTGTGTGTAGATATTTCTAAGCTCTGACTTTTTGCACTGATAACGATATATCTAAGTTCACAAACTACCAAAAAAAAGTGGATATCTAGACCTGAAATGTTATTAATTTAATCAGTTAAACATCTGATTTCTTGAAAAATACCATTACTTTTATGCCTTAATTTTATTAATGTAACATTAAAATTTTAAAGTTATAAAGTAGCAGGTGCTGGATTAATAGTTGTTGAATAAGTGAATAGGTGAGTGAATTAATATCACACAACAAGGGTCAATGCATTTTTTCTGTAAAAGGCCACATAGTAAATATTTTGGGCTTCATGGACATGTGGTCTGTGTCAATTATGTTATAGCATGAAAGCAGCCATAGATGTTAAGTAAATGAATGAGCATCACTGTATTCCAATAAAACATTATTTATAGAAAAGAAGGTTGCAGGTTGGATTTGACCATGGACTAAAGCTTGCTAATCCACAACATACAACAGCCAAAACCTTATAAAAATTACAATGTTCAGGACATAAGTGTATTGCCTTCTTACAGAATGTATGATTTGTAAATTTTGTGCTTAATTATGTGCAGGTTACATATCTTGGGAAGGAGCTTTTAAAGTATGTTTCTGAGGATGCACCCATACTTCCAGAACCAAACTCAGTACCTCAGCAATATCAACCTTGTCTTCCAGGTATGTACAGACTGACACTCATTTCTTCGTTGTGGGATAAAAACACCAAAACCTACTGGAAAAGCACTCATTTTATTTTGTCTTTTTTCTCATTGATGTGAAACTAACAATTATTATAATTGACTATTTCAAGGTGAACAGTTCAGTGGCATTTAGTAAATTCACAATGTCATGCAACCACCCACCTCTATATAATTCTAAAACACTTTTATCACCCCAAAAAGAAACCCTGTACCCACTCAGCAGTTGTTTCCCATTCTCTACTCCTCCCGATTTCTGGAAACGACCAATCTGCTTTCTGTCTGTATGAATTTGCTTATTCTGAATATGTCATATAAATGAAATCAATATATGTGACCTTTTTTGTCTGACTTCTTTCACTTAATATAATGTTTTTGAGGATCATCTACATCATAGCATGTATCCATACTTCATTCCTTTTTGTGACTGAATAATATTCCATTATATGGATATACCATAATTTGTCCACTCATCCTTTGATGGGCATTTGGGTGCTTCCCCCACCCCCAGGCTTTTTTTTTTTCTTTTTTTGAGACGGAGCTTTGCTCTTGTTGCCCAAGCTGGATTGCAATGGCATGATCTCGGCTCACTGCAACCTCTGCCTCCTGGGTTCAAGTGATTCTCCTGCTTTAGCCTCCCGAGTAGCTGGGATTATAGGCACGTGCTACCACACCTGGCTAATTTTTTGTGCTTTTAGTAGAAACGGGGTTTCACCATATTAGCCAGGCTGGTCTCGAACTCATGACCTTAGGTGATCTGCCCACCTCAGCCTCCCAAACTGCTGGGATTACAGGTGTGAGCCACCATGCCTGGCCTGCTTTCCCCTTTTTAGCTATTAGAGATAGTGCTGCTATGAATAGACATATGTATATTTGGGCACCTGGTTTCAGTTCTTTTAGGTGTGTGCTTAGGAGTGTAATTATTATACAAGTTGAGCATCCTTAATTCAAAAATCCAAAATCTGAAATCTCAGAGCCTGAAATTTTTTCAGTGCTGACATGCTACTACAAGTGGAAAATTCCACACCTGACCTCATGTGACAAGTCACAGTCAAAACTTTGTTCCATGTACAAAATTATTAAAAATATTGGATCAAATTACCTTCAGGATTTGTGTATAGGTGTATATGAAACATAAATGAATTTCATGTTTAGACTTGGGCCAATCCCCAAGATATCTCATGTATATGCAAATATTCCAAAATTTGAAAAAATCTAAAATCCAAAATACTTCTGGTCCCAAACGTTTTGGACTAGGGATACTCATCATTTATTATATAGTAATTCTATATAGGAAGCACAGCGAAACTGTCTTCTGTAGCAGCTGAATCATTTTACATTCCCAACAGCAATGTACAAGGGTTCCAGTTTTTCTGCATCTCTGCAACACTTGTTATTTTCTGTTTGTTTTATAGCACTCCATTTTTAACCTTAGTTAATTCCAGGAGAATTTAAGAAGATGACTCCATCCCTCACAATTCCTTTCTCTGAATCTATGCTGTACTTACTTTGGATAGATTTTTAAGTGTCATATAAAAGGAAAAAATGAGTATTGTTTTTCTTTCAGAAGACATGATTTGGTTTTATTTATTTTCTAAAAATAGGCATTAAAATAAATCTTTGCTTATTAGAGTAAACTAATACCCTTTATCAGATGGAACAGCCTTTAGCCTGAGAAAACTAAAACCAATGAGCAGCAGATTTTGAAGTGATCTGGAAAAAGGCAGCACACATTTCTGAAAAATAGCCGTAACTACAGTTATATTACCCTCCTTTGCTACAGCATCCCCTCTTTTTTTTCCTAGTGTCCCTGTCTTTGACCATTTGGGGACAATACAGAAGAGAGGAGGTACAAAACAAAAAATGATGACACTGTGATAACCAGGGCCAAGAAACAAACAGGATTTCTATCACCAAGTCCCTACCCAGGGCCTCCCTGGGACTGTTCCTTTCCTATAACAAGCCCCAATAATTCAAACTACATTCATTTCCTAACTTTTGCACCCTAATTTCTCAGGATCCTCCTCTGTCACAAAAACTGGCTCCATTAATAGGGTGCATTCTCCACAGTTTTCTGAAGATAGCCTCAAAAGTGTTTTTCATCATTTTTGGGAAACAGACAACATTAATAACTGGTAACATTCATAACTAGTAACATTAAAACAGGTAACATTAATAACTTTGGGGAAGTTAAAGGGCTTAAGAAATTGAAGGGAGTTCTTGTAGTAGTTCATGGCCTTTGTTTCCTAACCTGACTACCTATCTAATCTACCTAATCAAATCATGGGGTAAGGCCCAGTAACCTGAATTTTTAGAGGTGACTCTTACACAGCCAGCCTGACTATAGACTCTGGATGACTAATAGTATTTGATCTCTTGTGCAGATAATAATTTGACAGTCCTTGATATTCACCCCTTTGCTTTGATTCCTGAGGGTGGAATTGGAATTGCTAAAGTACTCTATCCTCTCTCTCTCTCCGCCCCCGTCGCTCCATCTCTTTCTCTCTCTCTCTCTCTCTCTCTCTCTCTCTCTCTCTGCCCCCTCTCTGCCACCCACCCTAAACACACACTAGAAGGAAAACCAAGCAAATGCTTTCTTCTGGTTTCGAACCTAAGAGTCGAAGCAGAGCAGTAGGTTTTTCCTTCTATCGTGAAGGTCATCTGCTCCTCAGATTTTCTAGTTCTAGGCAGGCATTTTCAACCCTAAATAGGCATCTTCTTCCTCAGAGGGCACACAATCTCCCTGTTAAGTGAGCATGAAATCAGAAATGGGTTCTGAACTGCTACTTCTGTTGCCTGTAATATAAATAATTTCCTGTTATTAATTTCTTTTCACAAATCCTGATTTTTCTTTCCATTAGATATTTCAGAAAATTGTTATGTTATTGTGCCATTGCACTCCAGCCTGGGTGACAAGAGCAAAACTCTGTCTTAAAAAAGAAAAGAAAAGAAAAGAAAAATTTAATGTTAGTTTAAGAACCATAGAGGTAGCAGTGTGCCAACCAGCTTCTTGCTACCTTGGTCTGGACCTAAGAATCTACAGGCAGGGCCCTGCTGGCATTCTGTAGGCTGCTGTTGGAGTTTTGTTTGAATCTCCTTAATTAGAATTCTTCTATAGCTGGTTTTGTGGTACCTGACAGAAACCCAAAGACCTGGCAAGTTAGAACAATGCAAAACTCTCTAACCCTACTACAAGAAAAGCACTCAGGAGAGAATCTTTCTCCCTCTTCTACATATCAAAATATCATCATGGAAATCATGGCTCTGACACTGTAGAGACCAGAAAGTCTAAAAAAATAATAATAATTTTGTGTGGCTTTCATCACTCTACCTCAGGTCACAAACATAATCTGTTCTCTTATGCTTTTTAATGACCATACTTTTTAGAATACTGTTTTTGGGGAATAAGGGGAACTAGGAAGAGCTATTTTCATTTTATTATTTTATTTTTAAATCATCTAGCCTAAAATGTCAAGAAAGAGCTATTTATATTTCCCTTCGGTAGGGTGACCATCATCCTGATTTGACCAGAGCAGTCCCCTAATTCAGCAAAATTATTACTAACGATTTGTTTCACTTTCAGAAGTTGCTTGTTTAGATGACCCAGTACAGGAACCAAGCAAATCAATGTTTGAGAAAACAAAATTTGGACAAGGTAAAAAAAAAAAAAAAAAGAAAATGTTCAATTCCATTCACTTTTTTAAGTGTTGAGATTCTACATATTGTGCAAATAGATCAAATAGATGATCAAATCTTATGTATATCACTCCATGTTATAAATAATTGCTGGTTACATCATCTTTATTTCATGATAGACTGAGAAGATCTTTGAGTTCACAGAATTTTTATGAAATCTTACTTCTTATATTCTTCAATGCCTGGCACACCATAGCTTTCCAATATATGCTCATTGCCTGTTGTTCTGTACTTTGGATGGTAGTACAGAACAACATCTTTGGATGAATCTTCTCTATGTAAACAACATAGTGATGATTTCTTATTAAAAATAAGATGAAGCTCACCTTATTTGAAGAGTGTCTGGCCCTCCCTTTAAAGCAAGCACTTTTATTTAGGCCTGTGACTTTTTTTTTAAGAGGTGGAGTCTTACTTTCTCACCCAAGCTGGAGTGCAGTGGCAGGATCATAGCTCACTGCAGCCTCAAACTCCTGGGCTCAAGTGATCCTCCTATCTCAGCCTCCCATGTAGCCTGGATTATAGGCTTGAGCCACTGCACTTCGCTAGGCCTGTAACTTTTGTAGCAAGACTTACCTTTTGGAGAGAAATGCTAAGGTTGTATGCCCACAAGTCCACCTTGCTCTGATTTTCCCCAACTTTCCCCAAGTTCACATGTGGCTACATCATCTCAAGAGGATCAAATGAGATGAAAAGTCCCTAAAACAATCACTATGGAACAATAGGAATTATCATAAAGATGGCTGCATTTACCTATCAGGTCTTACACTCTGACGTCCTAATACCAATACCTTACAGTATGGATTTTTCTGTGTGTATTCATCTTTCCAGCCATCTATTAATCTGCCCTTGTGTATTAGAAGTTTGGTAATATAGTTATTATAGTAAAAATGATACCAAAATTGGCATATTTTGTGGAGTTTGTATTTTTTCACATCATGATCCTCTGCGTGCTTAAATATTCATGATCTCTCTGTGCCTCCAAAGAGAAAGCCCCAAGGCAGACCTAGTGGTCTTTGCAGAAATATTTCATCTACTTCTTAGAGTTCAAAAGTTCTGTATGATGTAGGATTAGGTTTGGCTGCATGCAACAGAAAACCCCAAATAGCAGTGGTTTCAACACACAAAGATTTAGTCTTTCATTAAGAAGTCTGGATCCGTAGCATTCCAGATGAGGCACAGCAGCACCACAGAGTCACCAAGTCTTTCTACTCTGTCTTTCTTTGTACTGGTTTACATCCTGAAGTAAACTCATGATCCAAAATAGTTATGAATCTCTAGCCATCACATCTGCATTTAGGCATTAGAAAGAAGGAAAGTAGAGAGGCAAAAAAAGGGCTTCCTAGCTGTCTGTCCCCTTAAGGAACCTTCCCTGAAGTCAAACACAACACTTTGATTTATATCTCTTTAGCCAGAGTTTAGTCATATGCCACACCTAACTGCAAAGAAGGCTGAAAAATACAGTTTTTCTGTGTGACACATTGCCTTTGATTCTGTTAATGGGAGAAAAACAAAAAGGCAAAAATGGAGGCAACTAACAGCCTCTGCTAAAAGTCCTTTTTAGGAATCTATAAAACAATAGTTAATGTCAATTTAGACATAGTAAATTGTATTGGGTAATCTGGCACATTGCAGGAAACTTTACACTGGAAATTCACACAGTGGATTCACAACAGGATAATGTGGTTGGAGTCACACTGGCTATGAAGGAGTAAAGACTATAAGAGAGCACAAATGTAAAGTGATGGGGCTTTGTGTGTACCCTCTCAGCTAGAGGCCTCCCTGCTCTGCACCTTTGGCACCATGTCTAGGAACTGCCAGTGCCATGGTGTCAAAAGATTTCTGCCCTACCCCTAATCATCTCTGCTGTGCTTTAGTAAGAGCAGTTTTTCGACTGTTCGGTGGTGGCTCATACCTGTAATCCCAGAACTTTGGGAGGCCGAGGTGGGCAGATCACCTGAGATCGGGAGTTCAAGACCAGCCTGGCCAACATGGTGAAACCCCGTCTCCACTAAAATTACAAAAAAATTGGCCGGACATGGTGGTGGGCGCCTGTAATCCCAGCTACTTGGGAGGCTGAGGCAAGAGCATTGCTTGAACCTGGGAGGCGGAGGTTGCAGTAAGTTGAGATCGCGCTATTTTACTCCAGGCTGGGTGACAAGACCGAGACTCCACCTCAAAAAAAAAAAAGAACAGTTTTTCTCAGATGTCAGTTAGACTGTGCTTGAATTAGGCATTACGATCTTGTTGATTTTGCTGGCAGTTTCATATAACATTGTGGAAAGGGATAATAAGAAGTATTGCAGCTACTTCCAGCAGTTATTTCAATGTATTGCTAAATAATGATGTATGTTTTAATATTAAATATTATTAAATATTTAAATTATTAAATATTAAATATTTAAATTATTAAATATTAAATATTTAAATTATTAAATATTAAATATTTAATATTATTAAAATATTTAATGTGTTGAAAAGTTATAAACATGAGTTACCTCAAAACTTCATTTTAGTCTTCATAGAATAAGAACTATAAGGAGTGGTTCTCTAAAGCAGTGGCTGAGTTAAATATTTAAGTATATAGATACTTCAGAGCTGTTACCAAAACATGAGCTTTTAACTGTATTTTACTTGGAACACTAGATTTAAGGAAACATTTACGCTCCACTGAAGGTGCCCAGTGAACTAAGGAATAGTTTTGGAACAGAATTTTGATGCATACAGATATTAAATTCCTGACCTAATTAGCTCCATGCTCTGATTAACATTTGACCAAATCAACGCAGACAAATTTTGTTTTATAGAGACAAGGTCTTGCTATATTGCCCAAGTTGGTCTTGAACTCCTGACCTCAGGTAATCCACCCATCTCCAAAGTACTGGGATTACAGGCATGAGCCACCATGCCCAGCCCCAGACAAAAATTTTAATAGACACTTTCCTAGTCCTAGAAGCTTTAATGGATGCTAAGTATATGAAAGATGCTTATGCTAAATACTAATCAGGAAGATGCCCATGAAAATAGTAGACAAATTTTTCTACCATCAGAGTGGCAAAACTTTTATAAAAAGACTGATAACATTCAGTATTGGCAAAGATGTGGAAGAAAAGAACAGGTATTGTCACATGTAGTCTCATGATACTGTTGGTGGTAGTATAAAAGGATGCACTTAGGAGGGCACTCTGGCAGAACCTCTTAAAATGTAAAATGTTTACAGACCCCTCAACTCAGTAATTCTGCTTCTGAGTATCAATTCTATAGAAGTATTGGCACATGCCTGAATAGTGAAAAGTGAGAAATGAATTATGAATTATAAACAAATTATGGTAGATGCATTAAGTTTTTCAAATCATAACTAAAGTGGGGGGACAGCATCTTATAGAGGAAAAGACAAGTGTTAAATAATAGTGTTTAAATGATTAAACTAGGCTAAATTTGATGAAAAGAATTTAAATTAATATGTAAAGATTTACTTCCATGGGTTTTTCCTAAGAAAAAAAATGCTCCCTAACTTTTATGAGATACCTTGTTTCAGGAAGTCTATAAAACAAAGCTCCTAATAAGGGAATTACTGTGTTTACATATGGAACATGTGTAAAAAAGTTTAAATTCTTTGGATTATAAGTGATGATTTAAAACCCAAATCAGACTGGTTTAAACCCCTCAAAAAGGAATTTTATTGACTCATGTACATGAAAGACCAGGAACAGATCTTCAGGTTTCATTCAGGGTTCAAAGAGCATGTTTGACAAAGCACTAGTTTTTCTTGCTTTCCATTTCTCAGATCCATTTCCTCATTTTGGCTCTATCCTAATAGCCTTTCTTCTCATCATCCCAGGGCTACGTTCTTCCAAGTTCAAGTCTAAGAAAAAAGACTCTGTATGTGACTCTTTGCCAAAATACCCAATAAAAATCTCATTGCACTTTGGGAGGCCAAGGCGGGTGGATCACCTGAGGTCAGGAGTTCAAGACCAGCCTGAGCAACATGGCGAAACCCTGTCTCTACTAAAAATACAAAAATTAGCTGGGTGTGGTGGTGGGCACCTGTAATTCCAACTACTTGGGAGGCTGAGGCAGGAGAATCGCTTGAACCTGGGAAGCGGAGGTTGCACTGAGCCAAGATCGTGCCATTGCACTCCAGCCTGGGTGACAGAGTGAGACTCCATCTCAAAAAAAAAAAAAAAAAAAAAAATCTCATTGCATGTCACTTCCCTCTGAATGGGGTATGTTCTGACCCCTGAATCTATACCTGTTCACTCATTGGTGTAGATCTAAGCAAATCAGGAGGCTGAAAACAACTCTACCAGAAGCACGTGGGCCAAGTATGAAGAAAGGGTTGGCCATACAGAGGTCACGCTCATATTGTTGCTATCTGTGGAATAAGATTCAACTTACTGAATGATGTACAGCTCATATAGCCAATTTCAGAGAAAAAAATCTCTCAGACTGTCAGGGAGCTTGAAGAAACCAGTTTTAGGACCATTGGCCCATTAGACTGGCAGAGCCAAAAGGAACTCTCTTCATCATCACTCCTCTCACATCTCAGAGATGGAAGTCTGGAAAAGCCATATGACTTGCTTGAGATCACACACCAAGTTTGTGGCAGAGGCAGGACTAGAAATCTTGCAGCCTAATACTCTTTTTAGTACTAAATAATAACAGCATCTAGTAATTATTATTTGCTGTTTGCCCGGCAGTATGCTAAGAATTTCACATGCAAAATCTCACTTAATACAACTGTTTTATTCTCCATTTATTGGAAATTGAGGCACAGAGGAGTTTGTACAACTATCTTCAGAAACTTCCACTATCCTTTTTCTGCTGATGTTTTAGACTTCAAACAGGCCCCTCTTTCCCAAGATCAGCCAACGCTGGTTCATAGCTTTGTCTTGAGTACAGAAAATAGGTTGAGGAAAAAGGTCCTGATCAGAAAACCTGCTATGTGTGCTCTCACCTAGACTTGATTGGATTCTGGGATTTGTAATAGCAAAATTTAAATCTTAAATTTCAGAGGGCAGTTTTTAATTTGTTGATACTTCTTTAAACAGGAACTTCCAGAGAGCTGATGCAAAGCATCCCACGTTATCTACAAATAAATGAAATACTATTAATCAGTGATCAAGAATTTCTCCCATGCCACGTAATGGATCAGCATTGGAAGTTTTATGTGGGATGTGAGGAACTAACACTCTAAAACCTTGGTTTCTTAATATTTTATTAGGTATTTGTTCCAATTGTCAACAAACATTTATATTTCATCTTGTATAATCTGGTGGGCCTATTTTAACATACACTTTATGAGTTGCTATTTAAGATGTATGCTTACTATTCTTAAGACATATGTAACTGTTCAACAATTATATAAGATTAATGCTTTTTTGCCATTGAAATAAAGGCATGTTTGAACTAGACCATATTAATTGGCTCTCTGGCTTTCTTTTTACTAACATAAACTTAAAACTAACTTTTCAATCAACACCTCTACCTTTGTATAAAAAACAATTGATGCCTAAGGAAATGAGGATACAAGTAAGAGTAATCCATGGATAATTGGTCCTAAAAAGACCCAGCTTAAATGAATCCCTTAAGAACTTAAAGTCCTAATACCTTTCACATTTCCTTGGAAGTTTTTCTCAAAATCAAAATGTAAAATTATGAAGGAGGTTTAAGTTTCATAAAATTTAGTGTAGATAGTATTGTAGCTGTGGTTAAGTATTGGAACAAAGAATGAATCAAGTGTTGATTTGGAGTCTGATCATTTAGAATAGAACATACTTCACCTTTGACTTTTGCTACATTATCATGAAGACTTTTTTTAAAAGAAAAGAGACATATTTAAGAGATTTTTCAGTTTTCTCAAGGGTCACTCTTAATTCTTTGATAGCCCAGTTACTCTTTCCTTGTCCTTCATTACCCCAGGTTCCCAAATAAGCTTTTGGCTCCATGGCCTTATTTATCCCTTCTCTTTCTTTTGGGTATAGAAGTCAAAATTGCAATAAACATAACAGGCATACCTCAGAGATATTGCAGGTTTACTTCCAGACTACTGCAGTAAAGCGAAAGTCAACTAAAGTGAGTCACATGATTTTTTTCCCAGTTTCTATAAAAGTTACGTTTACACTATACTGTAGTCTATTAAGTGCGTAAAGGCATATCTTAAAACAATCAATGTATGTACCTTAGTTTGAGAATACTTTATTGCTAGAAAATATGAGCATCTGAGCCTTCAGCAGGTTGTAATCTTTTTGATAGTAGAGGGTCTTGCCTTGATGTTGATGGCTACTGCCCAATCATGGTGGTGGTTGCTGAAGTTTGAGGTAGCTGTGGCAGTTTCTAAAAATAAGACAACAATGAAATTTGCCACATCAATAGACTTTTTCTTTCATGAAAGATTTATCTGCAGCATGCATTGCTTTTCAATAGCATTTTATCCACAGTAAAACTTCTTTGAAAATTGGAGTCAATCCTTTTACACCCTGCTGCTGCTTTGTCAACTAAGTTTATAGAATACTTTAAATCCTTTGTTGTCATTTTAACAACGTTCACATCACCACACCAGGAGTAGATTTTGTCTCAAGAAACCACTTTCTTTGCTTATTCATAAGAAGCAACTCCTTATCCATTCAAATTTGATCATGAGATTTAAACAATTCAGTCACATCTTTAGGCTCCACTTCTAATTCTAGTTGTCTCGCTATTTCCACCACATTTGCAGTTGCTTCCTATACTAAAGTCTTAAACCCCTCAAAATCATCCATGAGGATTGGAATCATCTTCCTCCAAACTCCTGTTAAGGTTGATATTTTGATCGCCCATGAATCACAGATGTTCTTAATGGCATCTAGAATGGTGAATTCTTTCCAGAAGGTTTTAAGTTTACTATGTCGAGATCCATCAGAGGAACCACTATCTATGGCAGCTATAGCCTTACAAAATATATTTCTTAATAAGACTTGAAAGTCAAAAGTACTCCAGTAACATTTTGAAAGAAATCTTTTATTCTGAGCTGTAGGTCTCAACAGTGGGCTTTAAATATTCAGTAAACAAGCAAATGTGCTGTCATCCAAGCATTATTGTTCCAATTCCAGAGCACAGGCAGAGTAGATTTTGCATAGGGTTCTAGGATTTTCAGAATGGTATGTGAGAATTGGTTTCAACCTAAAGTCACCAGTTGCATTAGTCCCTAACAAGAGTCAACCTGTCTTTTGAAGCTTTGAAGCCAGGCATTGACTTCTCCTCTTTAGCTCTAACAGTCCTACGTGGCATCTTCTTCCAATAGAAGGCTGATTAATCTATAATGAAAATCTGTTTAGCGTAGCCACCTTCATCAATAATCTAGCCGGTCTTGTGGATGATTTACTGCAACATCTACATCAGTATGTGCTGCTTCACCTTGCATTTGTGTTGTATAGACAGCTTCTTTCTTTAAACTTCGTGAACCACCCTCTACTAGCTTCAAACTTTTCTTCTGCAGCTTCCTCACCTCTCTCAGTCTTCATAGAATTGGAGTTAGGACCTTGCTCTGGATTAGGTTTTGGCTTAAAGGAATATTGTGACCAGTTTGATCTTCTATCCAGACAACTCAAACTTTCTCTATCTCAGCAATAAGGTTGCTTTGCTTTCTTATCATTTGTGTGTTCACTGAAGTAACACTTTTTATTTCCTTCAAGAACTCTTCCTTTGCATTCACAACTTACCTAACAGTTTGATGCAAGAGACCTAGCTTTAGGCATGTCCTGGCTTTCAATATGCCTTCTTCACTAAGCTTAATCATTTCTAGCTTCTGATTTAAAGTGAGAGGTGTGCAACTTTCTTTCACTTGAATACTTAGGCCATTATAGGGTTACTAATTGGCCTAACTTCAATATTGTCGGAACGAAACAGTTATAATAATAACATCAAAGATCACTGCTCACAGATTACCATAACAGATATAAAAATAACAAAAAGGTTTGAAATATTTTGAGAATTACCCACATGTGACACAGACACGAAGTGAGCGTGTGCTGTTGGAAAAATTGGTGCTGATAGACTTGCTCAATGCAGGGTTGCCACAAACCTTCAATTTGTTAAAAAACAAATGTAATATCTACAAAGTGCAATAAAATGAGGTGTGCCTGCACTCATGCAAGTCCAATGATTTTGGTAGGTAGTGATATGGTCTTGCTTTTTGAATATTTTCTTTTCTTTTTTTTTTTTTTTTGAGATGGAGTCTCACTCTGTCGCCCAGGCTGGAGTGCAGTGGCCGGATCTCAGCTCACTGCAAGCTCCGCCTCCCGGGTTCACGCCATTCTCCTGCCTCAGCCTCCCGAGTAGCTGGGACTGCAGGCGCCCGCCGCCTCGCCCGGCTAGTTTTTTGTATTTTTTTTAGTAGAGACGGGGTTTCACCGTGTTAGCCAGGATGGTCTCGATCTCCCGACCTCGTGATCCGCCCGTCTCGGCCTCCCAAAGTGCTGGGATTACAGGCTTGAGCCACCGCGCCCGGCCGAATATTTTCTTATTTTAAATGTATAGAATGTTAAGATACGTCTTTAGAATATGTAAGAAACTGCTTAACAGTGGCCTGTGGAGAAATAAATTATGGGGTTGGAGAACGAAGGAAAAAGACCTACTTTTGCCTACATGTACCATTTGGCAAATTTGAAATTGGTACTATGTGTGTGTTCTTTCTATTTAGATAAAAAAATTAAACATCTGAAAAAGCACCTGGAAATGTTTGTCTATTAATAAAAGTGTAATGACATATTAAATCATTTTATTTTTCTTCCTTCAAGAGTCCAATGAAAGTGTTCAGGATAGAATAACTCTACATATTGTTACATTTGAGAACCAACAGAAAATTTTATTGTTTCACTATAATTTCCTTGGAGTACCTATTTTTCTAATTCTTAAATAATCTGTATGAGACTTTATTCTGTATTTTGTTTTATTATTTAAGAAGACAGTTAAAATATGAGCCATTTGAGAACATATGTACTAATTAAATTATACATAATTAAAATACAAATTGTTGGACAATGTTTAATGCAAGTACTGGTTTTATTAAAGAAAAATGATATACCTTTGCATGCATAATATATACACATATACTGGTATAAATGTAGATAAAGTATGTATACATACTATATAAATATATAATATATACTTTTTAATAAATAGCTCTGAAAATGTGTGTTTCTATGTGTGTGGGGTGGAGGTGGGGATATGTTCAGTAAAAGTTCTTGAATGCTACAGATACAACTGTTTATAGTGCCTATCCCTAAGGAAGCTAGACTGAGGAGGATGAAAGTATACTTTTATAGTTTACTTTAAACTTTAAAATCAGGCACACATGTCTTTTGTAATTCAAACAATTTTAAGGTAATAATTTTTAAAACAGGCATTTTGTCTTGTGATTACAATCTACGAAAGTCATATATGCTAAGTTTTTAATACAAAAGATCTTGCAATTCTAAGTTTTCATTTTGATGATTAAATTCTTAATTTCCCAAGCCCATTTACTCTATTTTATATACCAACTGGTGACTGAAATAACATCCATTGTCCAGGCATGCTGAGCATTGCCCAAACTAAACAACAAAACGGTCTACTCCAACCAGGGTTGGAGAGAACTACCTTACCCTAGACTATCTCTGTGAGAAGACTGGGCAATTTAGGATGTTAGCTACATGTTTTACCTGTTCTGGGTTCTAAATGAAGCCTTTAGGCTTCTGACCCTAAACCATAGATGAAGAATATCTAATAATCCAATCTTCTACCTGCTACTTTTATCCTTTTTATAAAACTGATTTTTTGAACATCTCTGGAATACTCCATACCCAAAAAGGAAGCCTATTCCTTTTCAAACAGGTAGTCCTCAGTGTTAGAAAGCTGGAACCCCTATGTTCCAGGCCTCACAACCCTAAATGATAATACTTCTTTTTTTTACAAGCTGAATTATTATGGCACAGCTTCCACTGGCTTGATTATTGGAAAATTCTAAACATACACTGCTATGGCTTGGTGGTTCCCTCTGAAACTCATGTTGAAACTTAATCCCCAATGTAGCAGTGGTGGGAGACGGAGCCTTTAAGAAGTGACTGGGTCGCTGAGGCGGTCCGATCATGAGGTCAAGAGATCGAGACCATCCTGGCTAACACGGTGAAACCCGTCTCTACTAAAAATGCAAAAAATTAGCGAGGTGTGGTGGTGGGTGCCTGCAGTCCCAGCTACTCGGGAGGCTGAGGCAGGAGAATGGCGTAAACCCGGGAGGCGGAGCTTGCAGTGAGCAACCTGGGCAACAGAGCAAGACTCCCTCTAAAAAAAAAAAAAAAAAAAAATGACTGGGTCATGAGGGCCGGGCCTCATGAATAATAAACTGATTAATTTTTTTCATGAGTTAATGGATTAATGGGTTATTATGGGAGTGGGTTAGTT